GAATTGGAAGGAACAATTTGAAACATTAAATGATACAAAAAAGAATCACTTTCATGAAACATAAAAGGTGTTCGCCAAATTGCGAATTTTTCTTGTCTTGAAATAGATTTGAAAATAAACAACTCGCCTTCAAAATTTTGCTAAATGAATTTGTTTCTTATGCATAATTGATGACTCATTTTCCCGTCCAGTCATTTCATTCGTGTGTTTATTAGAATCGCTTCCTTTGCTAGCGTGAATTCAGACATAGCTGTGGTTAATCTTCAAATAGGCAATTGGATGGATTCAATGAATGAGGTGGTGATTATGCACTTGACAGAACCAATTAAATCCTTATTAAAATTTCAAGTTTCAAATATTCTCGTTTGAGAAAGCACGTCATTTTTCAGTTTATTTATCACGACGTGGCATTGATATCTCCAAATATCGGCCATCAATTCGTTTCAATCCGGACAAAATCTTCTTAACGCCGAAAAACCCGATCATCCCGGGATGCATCAAAATCAAGGCTTTGGGCGTAGAAATTGTTCGACCGGTCAAAAATCTGATCGCTGAAGTTGAGATGCGTATCGGTGGAACGCCCGATCCGAATAATCCACCGCTGCCATGCTCTAAAAAGATCGATCAAAAAGTCAATCAGTGCCCATGCGCCAAATTGGACGGATCATGGTAATTGCTGAACGCATTGCATCGCTCGTGTTCATAGAAAATCGTTTTCTGAATCCAATTATGTCAATGCCCTCACACATACAAATTGAATATTTTATGCGAATTAGCTTCGTGAAAATGTGTCAAATGAGTGCAAAAAGTTTCGATAATCGCACACTCGTGAGGGTTTAATAATATTTTCAAATGATGTGAATGCAATGCGATAAAGACCCGTTGAACTTTAACTTGCTTGCTGAGGAAGCATACATTTTATGCTTTTTGAATGGCACAAATGAACATTCCTCCTCAATATCGGAAGATTCACTTTCGTTGTCGATTATTTCGGGCTAATCGACGGATTTTTAGTGTCTTCTGTGATTTCTGCAAACAAATGAGGCAACAAGCAACTCAACTCTCGCTAACGCGACGTCCACAACCTGGCCGTAAGGTGATCGACAATGACTGTCAATGCGATGTACGTTCGCCCTCTCAGATTTGTTCCTTGATATGTTCTTAAATAACGTTTATTTGACTCATCTTATGCTCTCATCTCAACCAACCAATAGTTCGACTATCACATATTGCTTGTGAACAGTGGAATAATGTTTACAGGTAATGCAACCCGGCATGTACGACATCGAAACAGAGATGTGCACACCTGAATTAGACGATATTCGAGAGTATATTCCACCTGAGATACAGAACAATATCCTTGAAAAACAACCGGTATGTTTTGTTACTTCCGTCGTTCAGCACCTACATTTCATCATCAATAATGTTTACATAAAGTGAATAATTTCGCACTCACTATAACAGAGAGTATTGTTATTAATTGTCATTCATTCGCACATGATACAG